ACACATTTTGATTTTCACTGTCATTCATCACCCACCACCTCTGTCACTTCCTGCCTGCTCTTTGCCAGATACTGCACTAAGCATTTTATCTGTGTGGTCTTTTCAGTAGTTCTGCAAGGCAGTTATTAGGTTCACAGTCACACAACAGGTTTACAGGAACTAAAAACTTTGCTCAAGATCCCACATCTTGTAGGTGACAAAGCTAGGATTTGAACCCAGGTCTGTCTAGTTCCAAAGCCTATTTTCTTTCTACCCATATAGTAACTTTAAACTCCTTTCCAGTGTTTTATGTGGCGATATGGAAATGATGTGGACGTCTGTGATGGTGAAGTCAGCGTAGCTGTAAGTGGTGCCTGCTGAGTAACCAGGAACCCCAGGATGGCCTGAATCTGTCAGGCTGCAGAGGCCAAGCTGCCCTGACCACTGTCCCACGTCGCTGAAGGGGAAGCAGCAGCTTGCCGTTGATGGGGCTGCGAGTTCGACTTACAGGAAGCTTGACATTGGGGCTATTTGGAAGGGTTACCAGAGTGATATTTTATTTTACAGTTTTATTCCCTAGTAGCTTCCAAAGGCTTACAGTCTTCCTCACTTTTATCTGCAAGGCATTCCCCGCTGAATGGGAATTGAGTTTAAGTTTGGGCAGTGTTAACAGGACACGTGGGGCACAGCACACATCTGCCCCTTGTGCGTTAATTTGGAAAGTCCCTGTGAAATGAGGAGCCTGTTGGAGCCTCACGATGGAGCCCTGTGGACTCTAGGCTTCTGGGTTCCTGGAGCGGAGGCATCCCTTTCTCAGCAGGGCTGTTCGTGCAGAAGTCCCTTCCCCGACACCCTGAGGGAAAAGTCTTTGGACTGTCTTGAAATAATCCCTTCCGATGACACAGGATTGGCATTACCACCAAAACCGTGAACAGTTTACTCTCTTCAGCATCCCAACTTGAACTTTTAACACAGAGACAAACCCTGGGCCTGGCCAGTCAGCTTGCATGTGTTCAAGTCTCAGGGTTAAATGAATGAGAGTTTGGGCAGTGGTTTTCCAGGCTTCTTAATGAAGGTGTGTGTCCTCTGCCCTGATGTGGTGTAATTTACAAAGGTGTGCTCACACCTTGGAAAACCACGCAACGTTACCATAATGTCAGCCCCATACCTGGCAGCTTAGGTGCACAGTGTGCTCACTTGCACGGTGTTGCTCCTGATCCCAAGGAAAGCCCTACAGAGCTGGCTCACGCTGAGACCGAAGAACTGGCCTGGGGATGTTAGCACTCACCCATGGTGAAAATCTATTCCTAGGGCTTGTTCTGTTCTATCCAAATAACTGTTTAGAATAAACAGCCAAGGAGTAGAGTGAAATTCTTGCTTGTGTGCCGTCATCTCTTCTTGCCCTGCTACATACAAATATTGTTTTGGAAGCAGTGTTGGTTGAATCCCATGACTCTTCCTCATGACTCATGACTTGTCTTTGTTTCTGCAGCATTTGCAGCAGTCCTTAGGGAAGAGCAAATGCTCACGTTTCTATTGACAGGTGAAATTAAGGTATAAAACATGGGGTAGGCACTGAGCCTCGCAGTTAAGATGCCTGCATTCCCCACATTGCAGTACTCAGGGTTCATTCACAGCTTTGGCTCCTTGATTCCAAGTTCCTGCTGATGCAGGCCCTGGGAGGCAGCAGGGATGGCCCAAGTGGTTGGGTCCCTGCTGTCCACATGGGAGACCTGCACCGCCATTCGCAGCTGCTGGCTTCCGCTGCAGCCCAGCCTTGGGCATGGTGGGCATTTGGGAAGTGAGAGTGCAGATGGGAGCTCCCCCTGTCTCTCTGCTTTCTGCCTCTTAAATACAATTTTTTAAAAATTCTCCAATGTCATTAATGCTGGTGCGTAGTTGGATTGTCACCCTAGGAGCAGCCATGGGTGAGCATTGTTGAGGGAAGAATGTAAAGGGGGAAGAAAGCCTCTGAGAGCCTCACTGGGCTCAGTGACCCAAGCTCTTTCTGTTTTCTTCCCGATGTTAGAGACTCAGAGTCTGGAGACTCAGGTAAGCTAGTAGGGTTCCCCCTGCTCTAGACGTCAGGAGCATTTTGCTGCTTTTATTCTAAGGCGCCTTCTCTTTTCACCCCCTCGCCCTGGTTGAACTCAGCTATGCATAGAGATTCCATTTATCTTGCTGCAGATTTTTAGTCTCCCAGGGAAAAAATGGTAATGCTGCTTTCAGACAGCTGTGTTTGGGAGTGAGACTGACTGCACCAGCTGGCTGGCATTACCACAGCCCAGGGTCCCGCCAGTTCGTGGAGAGCAGCTGTTTCGGCTGAAATTCTTATAATTCTTAAAACTTTGCTTCCTATGTGTCAGCTTTTGAGTTTTGCTTTTAAATGCACAAAAGGAGACAGGGCCATGAGGAAGATTCTGAGGTGTCCTGGGGTTACCCATAGGTGGAAGGGAAGAAATGGCTACCGCTGTCCTCTTACTACTCATGACTGTATGGGAAGAGAAAATCCAAAGGGAGGCTAATTCCAATGACAGAGATGATCAAGAATGAACTGGTAAATTATGATACCTCAGTCTAGTGAGGGGGTATGCAACCATTAAGAATCATGTTTGGGGAATCTTTTTTTTTTTTTTTTTTAAATTTATTTGACAGGTAGAGTTATAGACAGAGAGAGAGACAGAGAGAAAGGCTTTCCTTCCATTGGTTCACCCCCCAAATGGCCTCAACAGCCATCGCTGCACCAATCCGAAGCCAGGAACCAGGTGCTTCTTCCTGGTCTCCTATGCAGGTGCAGGGGCCCAAGCACTTGGGCCATCCTCCACTGCCTTCCCGGGCCACAGCAGAGAGCTGGACTGGAAGAGGAGCAATCCCATATGGGATGCCAGTGCCACAGGCGGAGGATTAACCAAGTGAGCCATGGTGCTGGCTCCTTGGGGATCTTTTTAATAAAGGGAAAAATGCTAATATTTGTTGAAATGTGTCAGATAAAAACAACCACAAAACAAATATAATCTCAACTATGTAAAAGTGTCTTAATATTAATTTTTTATTTATTTTCATTTTAGTTGAAAGAGAGATGGAGACATCCGTCTTACCTCCACTGCTTTGTTCCCCAAATCCCACAGCAGCTAGGGCTGGACCAGTCTGAAACCAGGGGCCCAGGATTCAGTCTGCAGTCTGTGTCTCCCACATGGGTAGCAGCAGGGACCCAAGTACTTGACCCCTCCTATGCCTACTGCAAGGACACACATTAGCAGGAAGCTGGAGTTATAAGCAGAGCCAAAACTTGGAGTGAGGCATGCTGATAAGGGAATGTGGATGTTGTGAGTGGCATTTTGACCTCTCTGCCAAATACCCACCACTGTGTTGACAATCAATGAGATAATTCATCCAAAGCCTTTAACCCAGTACCTCTTGTGGTAAACACTCAGTAAACCATAGCTACTGGAATGCAAACTGTCTAACCACAGGAAGCCTGTTGGCCTTGTTCACTGTTAGACCCGCAGTGCCTAGTATAAAGTAGAGGCTCTAAAGAATTGTGTTGATTGAGTGACTCTTATTTTCCAAGCCTGGATTTTACCATCAGTCATGACAGTTGTGGCCAGGTGACCTCTGTGTGGCTCAGGTCTTCTATGAAGCACTGAGGACATGAGCTGGTATGTAGGGTTGCTGAGAATCCAGTGAGCTACTCATTGAGCACACGCAGTAGCCGTACCCTAGTAGGCTGCACTAAGTGCTGGCCGCTGTGGCTGTGGGTAGCTCCGTGCAAGTGTCAGCGGTTAGAATTACCGAATGATGCTGTACCTTTACCTGCAGATAAAAAAATGAGAGTTGCATGGAATTCTGTCCATCATTTTCTTCTCTCTCTCTCTCATTATTTTACCATGGCTTTAATAATAATTAAGGCCCAAAGAAAAAGCTCAGGAAGGAATAAAACCTAAATGCTAACAGCAGTTATCTCCAGTAGAATTGGGAAATGTTCATTTTTTGTTTTCTTCTTGAGATGTTTCTACATTTTGGTGGTTGACTATAGTGCCTATATGTGATTTAATCATCCAGGGTTAAAAAAAATTGACCTTCCCTTGACCTCTTCCAAGCAAGCAGAAAGCTCAGCAGCACCAATAGCTCAGAGCTGTGGCACCAAGACTGAAACTGCGGCCGAGGACACTTGAGGGTTGGCAAATTGAGCCCTGTTCTGCAGTTCTTTTTTGCAGTTTGACTTAAATACGTATTTTTGCAGTCTAGAAACGTTGTGAAGTGGTTGCTAAGAACCAGGACATTGGAGGTGGCATCCGCAGTGCCAGCATTGCAGTGTGGGCACCAGCGCCAGTCCTGGCTGCCCCACTTTCAATCCAGCTCCCTGCTAATGGCCTGGGAAAGCAGCGGAAGATGGCCCAAGTGCTTGGACCCCTGCACTCACGTGGGAGACCTGGATGAGCTCTTGGCTCCTAGCTTTGGCCATTTGAGGAGTGACCCAGTGGATGGAAGATTGCTACATCTCTCTCTCTCTCTCTGTCTCTAATTCAGACTTTCAAATAAATAAATCTTAAAAAAAAAAAAAGAAAAAGAAAACTTAAAAAAAAAATGAACTGGGACATAGAACCGTTAGTAAAGAAAGGTAAAGAGGTTTTGATCTATTGGCTCTGAGTGATGGCAGCCATCTTCAGTGCCCCTGACAGCCAGCTTGGATTTTGCACCCTGGGCGCCTTCCAATCCCCCAGCCCACCTCACCCCACCTCACCCCCAGAGAGAGCAACGGCAGGGAGATGAGCAGAAATCCGGGCAGAAGGGGTGAGAAGTAGAAGTGAGCGTTACTGAGCTCTGCGAGGGGCTCTCGGAGGGGCTATTTCATGGCGCTTCCTGGGAACCAGTGTTTCCGATGAAGTACCGGGCAGGTGGCGGCGGTCTTTTCCAATCTTTTCTCGCAGTCTCAGACTCCACCGCGCTGTCTGCCGCGCCGGTTCGGGCCTGTGCGCTCTCGCAGAAGCGTGTAACCTCTTGTGAACCTCTGTTGGCAGATCTTCAACACTGTGCCCGATGCGCCGCTCACCGGCACCCAGCTGCACCTGTCGCGGAAGAAGAGCGGTGATGCCAAGCCCCCGTCCTGCAGCGAGAGACCCCTGACGCTCTTCCACGCCGTGCAGGCGACAGAGAAACGTAAGTCCCCGTGCTCAAGGCGTGTGTTGTGTGCAGAGACAGCCCTAGCCTCCTCCCAACCCCACCCAGGCCTCTCTCTGTGTCCCGCTGGCCTTTGGTGCCCCTAAAGAGTGTGTGTGTCCTTGCGCCCTCCCAAGCCCCATGGCAGAGCATCGCTCCCAGGACAGGAAGCAGAGGAGGAAACTCTCCCTGCGGCCTTTCGGGCGCGCACAGCTGAGCCGCTTCCTCCCGCGCGGTGCGAGAATCACCTCTTTGGTTCCCCCTTTATTAGCAACTCCCAGGGACCTGATTTCCTCCCTTCTCTGCGGTTTTCTAATTCAGCGCTTCTTAGTCTGACTCATACGGCTTCCTAGACTGTGCCTCCGTGAGGCTGGAACCTGCTTGTACCGGCCTTTGCTATTGCTGTCCTACACCACCTCTCACGGGGTCTAGTACGTAGTTGAGATTTTAGAAAAACAAACAAAAACAACAACAACACTTGAAATCAGTTCATCAGAGAAGGACCCTCCTTGTTGCAAACAGCAGGTGTTATCATCTTTCTTCCATCGCAGACTTTCTGAGCTCTTGGCTGTGACCAGGTGCTGAGCCCTAAAATAGAGTGTTCTAGCTTCTGTAAAAAGTAGTCCTATAATGGAGCCACCAAAGCCTCCAGCTGTGCCAGAGCTAAGTGGAGAGGCGTTCTTGTGCCAGCCTCGCCACGGTTCCAGCCTTTTTCCTCAGTTTGCTCATCTGTAAAATAGGTATCTTAGTGCTCACCTCATTGGAGATTTGGGAAGATTAGATGAAATGGTTCAGTACCTGAGAGTGGCTGCTGTCTTTAGTGGTTATTGTTGAATCGCGTGCAGTGTGCAAGGCTGGTACATTCACACAGCCAGCATTCACAGGGTGCCTGCCGAGGACCGACGACAGAGAAGCTGGGCGTGTCTTCCCGGAGCTCGGCGTGCTACCTGTTCTAGAGGTGTGTGCCTGCTGAGAGGTGCGATGGAACAGTTAGCTCACGCCAGCTCCAGGTTGCCAGGGTACCCACCCTGTCTCTGCTGTGTGACACTCAGGATGTACTGTCACATCTCAGGCCTCACCTCCTCTTCTGGAAAACGGGGTAGTGGTTTCTACCACATAGGGCTGTTGTGAGGATTAAACCACTTCTCCCAGGCAGGTGTGGTGACACCACAGGTCAAGCCACTGCTGGGGATGCCTGCATCCCTTACAACCATGCCATTTTGAGTCCTGGCTGCTCTGCTTCCTGTCCAGCTCCCTGTTAATGTGCCTGGGAACTGCAGGAGATGGCTGGAGTGCCTGAGTCACTGTCACCCACATAGGAGATGGAGCGCCTGTCTCCTGGATCTACCCTGGCCTGCCCCTGGCTGTTGGTGGCCATTTGGGCAGTGAACCAACAGATGAAAGATCTCTTTGTCACTTGCTCTCCTTCATTCTCTCTTTGTCACTCTGCCTTTCAAATAGATAAATACATGTGTAAAATAAAATAGCACTTCATCCAGTGCTAGGTGCCGAGTTGAGTGCCCAGTACGTGCTGGGTGGCGAGGTGGCGTCGTCGTCATCGTCCGTCCCTGCTAACCTGTAGAGGCAGAGCAGGGCAGTGTCTCCTTTCACTCAGCATCACATTGGCATCTTTCTTTGTCATAAAGAAGTTTTTCTAAACCCATGGTATTTCAGGCGTTTTGACCTTCCTTATCATGACTCCTGAAATCAAGCGTTTCTCACCCCCAAAACTCGCTGAATTTAAAGGTTTCATGGTATCCCATAATACAGCTGTACCTCAGTGTATTTAGAATCATTTGAGTTGTTCCAGTTATTTTGATTTTAGTTTATTTATAGTCCAGCTGCTGTTATCATCATTGTAGCTCATGAGCATTGCTTAAGATAAATTCCTGTGGAGCTGGCATGTGGCTCAGGGGATTAAGTCACCACTCATGTTGCCAGCATCCCATATGGACACTGGTTCAAGTCCTGGCTGCTCCACTCCCAGTCCAGCTCCCTACATAGAGCCCCTGGGAAGGCAGCAGATGATGGCCTGAGTGCTTGGGCCTCTGCCACTCACATGGGAGACCCGGATGGAGTTCAACAATAGCTTGTGTTGCTGGTCGACATGTGCTGGGGTCGCTCTCATGGTGACAGACACATAACCGGGTCCTCTGCAAGGACACCAGGCACATTTGCAGCAGGACTGGCCTCAACTACATCTGCCCAGTGTCTGAGGCATCGGACTTCAGGGCGATGTTCGCCTCAGGTTTCCAGGAGACCCATGGACACCAGCGTTTTCTACTAAGCCGTGTGTGGTGCACGTGGAGACAGACCAGACAGTGCCTGTCCTTCCCCCTTTGGCTTACCTAGTGCTGGGTTTGTGGTGAGGCTGCAACAGCTCGGGGACAGGTCTCCAGGTATACTTGGGGGCATGTAAGAAGGAAGATGGAGATGAGCAGAAAACCAATCAGATCTTTGGCTTAGATTAACTTTATTACATGAGGCAGAGGCTGAAGGCGAGGACGTGTGAGAGTAGACCTGTCTAAGCTGCAGAATAGGCAGTGACGTTCCTGTCTGCAGACAGTGGGCCAAGGGCGTGAGACGGGAAGAGAGCAGCACTTTCCTTGTGTGCTGGGCAAGTCTTCCGGGAAACAGGGCTGAGCTCTGCAGTTGTCAGATGCTCTGAGGGTGGGGGGCATGGATAGCTTCCCCTGCTCCTTGGAGAAGAGACATTTTAATGGAAAAGTTGTGTGTGTATGTTTGAACCTCAAAAAAATTCAAGGAAAATGGAGTATGTTTTGAGGCAAAACAATTTTGAAATCCATGCCTTGTGTTTTTCATGATACCAGTTTCCCATGAACTTTTTGAAGGCTCTTCCACACTTAGTTTTCAGTATTTTTTTGCACCAAAATACAGTTACCTTTTAAAAAATTATTTATTTGAGAGACAGCAAGAGAGCGCCCATCTCCTGGTTCACTAACAAGGTGCCTGAAACAGCTGAGCCTGGGCCAAATCTCCCACATAGGTGTCAGGGAACCCAATTACTTGAGCCATCACCACCACCTCCCAAGGGTCTACACTGGCAGGAAGGTGGATTCAGGAACTAGAGACAGATTACCAAACCCCAGTCCTCCAATGTGGGACATGCCTGCCCCTAACCTAATCTTTTAATTCCATTTTCCCCTGAGCTTTTTGAAATGCCTTGTATACATATGTATATGAATGCTTAACTGGAATAATAAATATAAATATATATATATATATTTATCTATGTAGGCTATCTTCCAAACAATTAACTGTTGTTAGTACTTTAAATATTATTATTAATTATGATTATAGTAAAAGTTTTCTACACTGTAATCCACAGCATAAAATGCCGAAGTTTTTTTAATGTACTCAACTAGAAATGGGTTCCTGTGTTGTGACTTGGCTGTTTAGATTGCTGTAGAGGCCGGCGCCGCGGCTCACTAGGCTAATCCTCCGCCTAGCAGCGCCGGCACACCGGGTTCTAGTCCCGGTCGGGGCGCCGGATTCTGTCCTGGTTGCCCCTCTTCCAGGCCAGCCCTCTGCTGTGGCCAGGGAGTGCAGTGGAGGATGGCCCAGGTGCTTGGGCCCTGCACCCCATGGGAGACCAGGAAAAGCACCTGGCTCCTGGCTCCTGCCATCGGATCAGCGCGGTGTGCCGGCCGCAGCGCGCCGGCCGCGGCGGCCATTGGAGGGTGAACCAACGGCAAAGGAAGACCTTTCTCTCTGTCTCTCTCTCACTGTCTACTCTGCCTGTCAAAAAAAAAAAAAAAAAGATTGCTGTAGACACTCACTGTTGATCTTTTGATTTCTTGCTGTGCACTTTGGGTTCATTGCGATGCCTGCCAAGGTTTGATGCGCCTTTGCCTTTCTTGCCACAGAGCAGATTCCCTTTTACAAGGGAGCGCCCCGTATGGACACACACACATACAGGCACTTGCGCAGGCACACAGACCTCTGCCCTACCCTCAAACTAGCCATCTGCTGTTTTTCAGAACCTCCTTTCTTCTTAAGTCTGTGCAGGTGATCTCTTTTGTGTCCACGTAGGCTCCTCTTTTTACTTACTGAGGTGCTAGCATTCTCTCTGCATTCCGCTGGCCAGCCTTCAGTTGAGTCCCTAACTGAGATATGCAGTGGACCTGCAGATTCCCGAGTGGCTCCTCTGGGTGCGTCCCTTCAAAGGTCCCAGTTGTGCGCCAACAGCATACGTTCTTCCCTCACGCTGCAGTGCTCCTGCTCTGCGCAGGAGTTGGAGCCTCTTCTCTCCTTTAAAGGTCAGTGTGCCAGTAGTCTTAGCATCAGTGTGCCATTTGCCTCCCTCTTCCCAGAGGTGTCAGCTTGGGAGTTCCATGGCCCATTCCTCTGTCTTTGCACCTGTGCTGGAGGCTCATGGAACTATCTGGCATGGTACGTGATGTATGTCTTATTTCTAGAACAAGTTGTCCTTCTGCCTAGGTGAACCAGTTGTGCATCCAGGAGCTTGCACACTGTTCTCTCTTAATCTGTGGGCATGAATGGGGTCTTCTTTGGCGGCCCCTTCCATGTACCTGAAGTTCAGTGGTCTTTAGGATGGCAATGGTCTCTTCCTAGTATGAGGTGCTGGAGACTTTCTTATGTTCTTGGCTCTTCACAGCAGGAAACATGGTAGCAGCAGGGCTAGGAATAAAATGAGATTAGCTTCTGAGATCAAAACTTGTTGGAGAAGAGCAAAGGGAATGATGGAGAAATGCACAATTTAAAATATCAGGGGAAAAAATGCAGATTGTCCGAAAACCAGTGACTGCTCTTGAGAAGGAGGCTAGATATCATTATTTGTAGTTGGTCAAAACTGTTGGTCGAATGGAGGATTTTGAGAATGACATTACGGGCAGAGGGCCCAGTCTGGCTGAGAGGACCAAAGGGTGGTCTGTGCTTAACAGAGGGAGCACGAGGGGAGAGTCTGTAATTAGCAGTGGGTAGCTCTTGTCTGTAGAACTGAGGGGGGGGGACAGTTG